AAATTTTTATTACAAACATATGTTATAAGTGAAGATAGAAAGGTATTTTTTTTTGTAGTGTTTATTTCACTCCACATAAATATAGATGCATACTTGGATTGTGTTTACGAAGGAAAATATTTTGTAATTTTGTTGTAAAACATTTAAAATTGGTTGATTTATTTATTACAACCAATCTACATACCATATTCTACTTATTGTACACTAACATAAAACTTCACACTAGTTCTAAATAATAATACTGTATTATTAAGATGTTGCATGATATTGAAAATTTTAAATATGCCATCATCTGTGAAAATATAGTCTTAATGCTCTGCTTTTTTTTATGACCTTTTCCATGCATACCATCATTATGTTTAAGTCTATACATGTATCACTGTAGTAAATATTATGAATTGGCATGGAATAAATGGTACGAAATTACTACTGAAAGAATTACACCTTTTCCATCATTATTCTGTTATGTATCCATCAATTCAGTTTAAGTCTAAATGGTAATGTATCACTGTAAATTAGGAAAAGGCATGGGTATGACATTAAACTCCATCCGGTTAAAGCGTTGGCGACTAAACTGACAACCCTGTCAGATATGTCTTAGTGGCTACTGAGGGGAGGGTGTTTATGGTCACCCATAAAACCAAAAGCTGAACAAAGGGCGGATGAGCTCCTCGGAGTCAATGGCCAACCATTAATTAGTTTAAGGAATAGGAGTAGTTTAGTCTCATTGTTATTATTATTGTTATTATGATTACTATTTTTTATTTTATTTTATTGTTATTATTTTATTGTTATTTGTATTTTCTCGGTTGGCCTATATTAAGCGCATAGGGGCAATGTGAAATATGCGCTAAATATAACATTATTATTATTATAAATGGTGCGAAAGTACTACTGAAAGAAATACACAGAGAATGTAATACTGTATTAAAGCTGGCAGGTCACAATACAATAAATATTAAATATATAAATTGAATAAACAAATATTACGGAATAATGCAGTCAAAAGGAGATATTTCGAAGAATACTATCTTTAAATCATCTTGAGTATAATATATTTAAAAGTTTAAAAGATTTAAGCCTGCAAAGAAAATAAACACAACATTGTTAACCATTTAGCAACTTAATCTTTGAATTTAGAAAGGTACTAGGAGTAATCCTTCCTGCTACCATTTTATTTTATGGATGCAATTTTTCAGCTTTTACTACCGGTAATTTACCAAGATGTATTGAAGCAAGTTTCGGAGAATGCGACAGATGAGACTATAAGATTGCACATTTTTTCCAGTTTGTTTCCACTTTTCAATTTTATTCCTTACATCATTTATAAAAAGTGAATAGAGGAAGATTTCTATCTACTACAATAAATAGATCCATTATTATTATTAATATTTTGAAACCTAAATTTTTGTTATTAATAACCACTAGTTCTTTATGAATACGTATTGTTCTTTTGTGTTGGGCTTCTGCCTGTTGTTTTTTACTTGTGACTTCTGGCTTCCATTCTTTGGTGGTCTGTTGAAACTTTTTTTTTTTTCAATTGTATTTTTAGGTAAATGTGTACATTAATGCCAAATCGTACCCATAATCCTAAAGATTCTGTAAATGACATGAATTAGTGCTAAAAACCCAAGGCACGTAAACCATTAGAATCAAATACTAAGTATGAAACTTTGCTGTGTATATTAATCATGACATGGAAACGAGATTGCTTTTTTTACCTTGGTGTCCATTTAAAGCCACTGTCTCACAGCCTTTTTGTTAGCACACATTTAGAGAATATATTACTTTGTCATCATCATCATCATCATCATCATATTGTCATTCATCATTATCATTATTATCATCAGTGTCATCATTATCATTATTGTCATAATCACATCATCATCATCATCATCATTGATAATGCATTGCTTTTTCATCATCATGGTCAATAATCATCAATATCATCAACATCATTAAAATCATTATCATCATAAAATTCAAAAGTAAATCGAAAAACACATTGATCTTGCCAATATGGCAAAATGATTTTGGAAAAAGAACTTGTAAATGTCGCTCAGTTAAATTATGGAACAATTCATCATCAGATATTCGTAGCAATAATCATCCTCTTTCCTTACAATCCCTTTAAAAATCTCATTTAATTTACCCACTTGTTTTTCTTTTCTGTTTCTTGTATTTATGTAATTAATATAAGTTTTTTGCAATTTAATGTTGGTTAGTTTAAAGTCATACCCTGGACCTCGGGGTGTACTAATACTGACTGAGTATCCAGAATAAAGAAAGATTTAAATTCATCATAATCATCATCTTTATCATCATCATCATCATCATCATCATAATCATCATCATATTCATTCATTAATAATAATTTCAACAGGAATTTATAAAGCTTGTTAACTTAGTCGGTACACATCATACTTTTCCTGACACTAACTACATGTATTAAAAAGAATAAGTTTATGATTTTTGGAACAACACAGAATATTTCAAAATTTAGTAATGTTACTGTGAGCTATAATAATGACTCCATTGACAGAGTTGATTTTTTTAAATACTTGGGTGAACATTACTTTTGACCCACAGCTTACGTGGAACAAACACATTGAAAGCTTATCTTCTAAAGCTTCTAAAAGGATTGGTGTCATCCGTCGTATCAGATATTTTGTACCTCAATTTATTTTTAAGATGTTAGCTAAAACTATTGTTTTACCTTTATTTGATTATTGTTCTTGTGTATGGTCAAACTGTTTCATCTAATTATCTAATAACTTACAAGTTCTGTTAAACACCTTAGAAAGAATATTACTTTCATGTGATATTAGAACACCAATTAAAGAGATTTTAAGTTTGTTGAATTGGCAAACTCTGAAAAATAGATGGAAAGACCAATTATTATTTTTAACTTTTAAATGCCTTCAAGGACTTGCTCCCTCCTACCTACAGTAATTAATATGTTTGTTTTCCTTGGAAAATGATAAAAACACTAGAAGCCAGACAAATAATCATCTTGTAGTTCCACAATAGAACATAATATGTCAAGGAAAATGGACTTTTCATGACCGTGCATCCATGAAGTGGAACCAACTACCTAGCAATATAACTAGGGATTTCCAGAATTTTAACCAATACACATTTAAAAATGCTCTGAATTAATTGGTCTCTCCTCTATTTTTGTAATTAAGTCCTTTTGTTTAATTTTCCTAAATTTTTCTTTTCAATTTTTGTATTTTACAGTATGTTATGTAACTGGACCACAACGAAAACCAGTGCCTTTGCATTGAGCGTGCAATCCAGTATAACAGAAGTTTTAATAATAATTTTAATGCTTGTTACTAATATGCGTGCATTAATCTCATATCTCAGGTAGAGTGTCGACTATAAAATCTACAGTCACGTTTGCATAGATGCTCCCAAAGGATGGGCTGTGTAAAAATATAGCCTCATTTACATATTTTATACTTTAGCTATATAATCTTTTATTTGATTTGTGATGCCTCGGAGAACTGTATATAGTGCTACATTTCTGGCTGTAATTAGTTGACATTTATCTTATCGTTTATTGTAAAGTTTAAACTATTTTTTTTAATGGATTCTCATTTACATTTGTAGGGTATTCCATCCAAATTTTATGAAATTGAATGATAAAAATTTAATTTTGGTACTAACGTATTAAGTTGTAATTATAACTCAAAATATAAATAAATGATTAATAATACCAAATTAAATAAATATAATTAAATTAACTGGTAATCTTAAGTTTGGACTAGCTTATTACCAGTAAGGGATGTTTTAAGATGAATATTATAAATGTATTCAAAAGAAAACAGGTTTTTTTTTTATATAATCATTTAAATAATATTTTATTAATTAATGTAGCGGTAGTGTAAACTATATGAGACTTGGATCCTTTTTAGAAATTAATGTTCCTTTTCTATTTGTACTAATCTTCCCTTACTTTAAATGAACTGTTCCATGTCGAGTTTCTATCTACTATGCAGTACTACTACACATCATCATCCATAATCTGTTAAATTGCCCATGATTTTGAAGCAAGAGCACCTGAGGATTGAAATGAATTCATTGATTTTCTCACGGATTTTGTAGATATTTCAAAGTTGTTGCAGGTAGAATGCCCCTATAGGGATTTACAAAATCGTAAATGTATTGAAATATGTTGGCTCTGACAAATGACAATAGTAAATATCTCTTGAAGAAGACTCTTCATAATTGAACTTTTTAACCCAAAATGCTGTCAGTGTTTTAGGACTAATGTGTTATTTTTTAAACCTTTTTTGCATTAGGGAGCCTGTCAAAACAAAATAACGCAAATTCGCGGGACATTTAAACATGTTGTGATACTTTAATCTTTGTGTTGTTTGCAATAACAGTGAAATAAAACTAAAAGTATCACAGAGCAGTGAAAATTACTTCACTTTTAATTGATTTAACGGAAACAAAAAATTAAGAGATGATGTTTGCATTTGGAGTACTAAATCATGTTTATGCCTAGTAGGTAGGCTACACCCAGTTTGTAATTCATAATACACAAAAGAATAAAAGAGGTCTGATACAAAAAACTCCTAGCACTACAGCCAGAGCCCATTGTAGACCGACATCAAGACAAGCACCCCACGTTTCGATTGATTAATTCAAGAAATTTCCAATAAATATATGGTCACAATGTGTAACAGTAAATAATTATCTTATAGTATTATGTATGTTGGGCTATTCCATGACAAAGTGGAATTGTATACAAATAATTTTGTTTACTACTAATATAAGTAAATAGATATTTGTCATTGTTAATAATTTTTTGTCCCACATTTTTTACCTATATTTTTCCAAACATATCCATGTGTTTAGGGGTAGAGTCTCCAATAATGAGTACAGTTTTCTTGAGCAATTGGTGTATGGGTTTGTGAGATGGTGTTCTGTGAGCTGGTTTATCAACAGTGTATCAACAGGCTGAAATTGGTTTGCGTTTCCACTTATAGGTGTTGAACTCAGACAGTCGCTGGTCATGGAAAGCAGCCTGAGTCTAGATGGAGGGATGAATGCATCAGCTGTTGGTCGAAGATTCGTTGGTGTATGAACAGTTGACTGAGGATTTTTTTTCACTTTTGTTTTTTGAGGTGTCTGGGTGAATTTCATCTTCTTCAACATTAAGAACCATGAAGCGGTTGTTGGTTTTAACAGAGATGACATCTTTCAGGGTTCTGGTCTGCGATAGGCCTGTGTGATGTGAATTTGGAGATTCATGTATTGATGTAGGCTCTTCCATTTGTAAGTTTTCATCTTCAGATCTAACTTTCATTAGGAGCTGAACATTTTGTTGTAATTCAGATATTTGCTTCTCAAAGGAAAGCTTCCAATCAGAAAACATAGGCAGGTCATACATCCAGGAAACTGTTGTTTGTGTTTCTTGATCACAAGTAATAGATATAGATGGTTTGTTTGTTTAATTTATTTCTCCACACACATGAACATATTAACATACATAACAAAAGCTTAATAGTAAAACCAACTAAGAATAATAGTACATTACAGAATAAGTGTGTGGAAGGAGGCCAAAATAAGTTTAGAATAAAACTTTAAGCCGTGGCCACCAGTTAAAAATATATAGAAATCCAAAAATATAAAAACAATATATATATATATATATATTAGGCCAGCAGATTAGAGGCTATTTTGGGGTGGAGGTGGCAATGGAAGTACTACCGGCTAATTTTGATATTTTCTGAAAATATAGGTCTTGAGAAGTTCAGAACTCAAAATTACCCAAAATCCCTTTGGGGGAACACCTCCAAATTATGCATTCAAAATGGCCGCCATTTTTCCGCTTTAAATTATAGTTTTAGCTATATAATATAAAAAATAACATTACTCGAATAATCATCATCAACAATTGGTGAAACTTACTCAAAATATTCGTTAATTATCGAAAAGGAATCTTGCGTTTAGAAAAACTACAATTTCAATCACCATAGCAACCGTTGCTATGCAAATTTAAATTTCCTATTTTATTCATGAAATTTAAGTATACAGGAAGCTTAAAGTTGATTAAAATCTTTATTTTCATAGGTTTTATGAATATGTTTAACATCTGAATTATCTATTATTATCATAGAATAGGTTTATGTAAAAAAATGCTGAAACTTTGATATAATTGCATAGCAATAACCAGGAGACTTACCGGCCATACTCCGAGACCAGAGACTTTTTAAGATTGTATTTAAAAGAGTTGAGATTAGGTAAGGATTTAAAGGAAGTTTTTAAGGAATTCCATAATTTTGGACTAGTGTAAAATGTGGATTTTTTTTCTAGAAGAGGATGTATACTTTTCAAATAAAACGTTACTTTTAGCAAATCTAGTATTATGTTCATGTACAGTATATCAGCCTGTTGTTTTGGAAATAGATTATGAATATGTGGGGGTAATATTTTATTTCTAAAGCGATACATAAAAACATAGTTTTGTAATTTATGCAAATCAAATACATTTAGAACATTAAATTTGTAAAATAAAGGTTTGGTATGGGAAATACGAGTTGTCCCTGCACAAATCGTGAGAGCTCGCTTTTGTAATTTAAAAATATTGTCAATAGAGGTTGTTTCAGGACTTGTCCAGGGACATAGATGAAGAAATTTATCAACTGTAGCAGCCCATGATGTGTTACAATAACTGATATAAGGTAAGATTAAAGTATTATACAAGGATAAAAGAATGTTCTGCGGAAAGTAATGTTTTAATTTATTCATAAGACCAATGTTTCTTGATATAATATTTGTAATACTGTTACGATGGGATTGCCAAGATAGTTTGAAATCTAATGTAATGCCAAGGAATTTTGTTTCAGTTACTTGTTCAATTACGTTGTTATCAATTTTAATAAGAAAGGAATCTCTGCTTTTTATTTTATTTTTAAAAACAATAGAATTAGTTTTAGAAATATTAAGAGATAGCATATCTAATTTAGGCCAATTAGATACCTTAGTTTAAAATCTTACCAATATTATAAATTTACGCAAGTCCTGTCTGCTTAGACTTGGAAACCTTTATAATTTAGGTATATGATACTGTACACCACCAACAACGAGTTTGCGGCCATGTTTTTTGTGAGTTGTTTACATCTGATAATTACAACATACCTCACTGAACAGCAGTGCTTTAGATTTACGGAATACCTAGCCAGACCGTAATACATCCGCTTCTTATGTTTAGTTAGCCGATTTTGTCATTGGTGATTGCAGTCGGAAACCACACAGGTATTTTCTAGTTTTAATAATACAATAATTGAAATTGATCTTGCTGACTATGGCATGTCTACACGCTAGCCCGTAAATGCTCGAATACATTTAGAGGCTTCAGTGCGGCGCTTATTCGAGAGCTTATTAAAAAAATATTGGCATGGTGCTTTCCATGCTCGTTCCCATGTTACCTATCTCACGTATTCCCGTAGGTCATTAGCCTATCATAAGTCTTTTGTCACCATAAATAAACGTTTATAACTGAAATGCTTGCGTCTTCATTGTGTTATTATTATCTTCATTATTCATTTCAACATACACCTTGTATTTAAAACACTGTTTCTCATATTTTATTATACTCTCTCGATTTTTTTTTTCTTCAGCGCTGCAGCGCTTATTCAACAAAATATATAAAGATTACAAAAGACATTTGACAGAAAAAAAAACACTGCAAAAAACAATGAAAAATGCATTTCTGTCCAACTTAAAATTTCAATATGCATTGAAATAAAATTGAGCCATTTTTATACACTATGCAGCTACTGTAGTGCTTAGACATTCTACATGAAATTAATAAAAGCAAAAATAAAATTATTTTGGGAAATAAGCTGGGTTTAAACCTCTTCACATGTTCTTTATTTGTTTTGTTTTCTTTCTGTTTCAATTTTTTGTTATTTCCATTAATTTTATCAATTTTTATATAATTTCCCTTTCTTTTACCTCACCTTATACCTCTCCCTTGTAGTCCTTTTTTTATTTGGTATTTTATTTGGTAATTTCATTTCCTATCCTTTATAACTTCCGAAAACTAAAAAGAGACATATGAAACATACTCCTCATACAAATAAATATACTACTATAAATTAGCTCAAGTTTTTCTTTTTTACAACAGTCCTCATGGATGCAGTATATTCTTTATTGCTGCTGTAAACATCTTGAAAGTTCAGAAATTATTTCTGACCTGTCTGGCGCCACCATTTATTATTATCTTGGTATCTTTTATTGAACACAAGTACAATATATGGGTTTTATAATAACAAAGTTCAGTGCTATTCTTTAAATTTCAAGAGATATTGTCACAGTGTTGCTGAAATCATTTTCCCTGGAATTCGTTGTTTTTCACTGTTAGCAATGTTAGTTCTACCACCAGAACCATAGGCATGCCAATGTTATGGGTGTAGCTTGCGGCGCCCCTGCCAACTGCTCAGCCATTTGAATCACCGTCTACTTAATTTGTCTGTAATAAGAGGATTTATATTTATAATAATGATTTTTTTTTTCTTTAAAAAATAAGTTTTAAAACAGGTATGTTTTTTGTCAATAATTAATTTTTTTCCCTTTTAAGTTGCTTTTGGCAAAACCCTTTCGCTAAATTTTAAACATAGGCGTAAACATTGTTAAGCTAACATAAAAATGTCTTATTTAGTTGTTGTGTGGTACTTCTCGTTCAAAATCTGCTAATCAGGTTGGGAAAAATACAAATTCCCTCTGCCCTTTTTTAGCCAGATGTATATTTAGAAAGGTTATGATTAATACAGTTAAACTTGCCTAAGTCAACTGTGCCTAAGTCAATCTTATTTTACATGCCAAATTGTCGTGTTCTCCATTAATTAACAATCTGTAAGTCGAATGTTTTATAAGTCAAACAATATTTCAATGGCATTTTGGATTTGACTAAGGCAAGTTGAACTGTATATATATTCCATGCCTGTTTCAGAATTGTTTTAGGTTGCTAATTAGGATCCTAATGGATCATTATCCCTAGTGTGGTCATTACATCAAGTACTCCAGTAGAATTTTTTATAACCTGGCTGGGATCTTTATGATCATGTAATAACACATTTCACAGTAATTGTGTGCTGTAGTTGTACATTTACAGTGAAATTACGAAGTGTTTATTTTTTAGTATATTACACTTACACGTTTTACACCAAAGTAAATAAATGCCTTTCTCGAATAAACGCCTCCCTCGAATAGACCATCCCTCAAAAACCCTTCTCAACAATAAACAGTCCTTGGTGTTTTTAAAATTAATAATCTTTTGATTGGTTGAAACAAAAGCACGACCAATGATAACTTTTTTTCGGAAGACAACAAATAGTCGGTAAATAAAATCAAGATGTGTGAGGCTGTAAAATATTTCCAGCGTAAAATATTGGGCCCAGAAATCCGTCGCCACATTTCAAAATATGAGCCGATTTCCACGTATGTTTTTGCAGAAAATTTAGGCCTTCATAGTAGGAACACAAGTATTTATGATTCTGATTTTACTAGGGGTTTTCTCATGCAATTTGAATTTTGTTTCTATCCTCCATGGTGATGGTAAGTCACGTGGGAGGGTATTCCAAAGTGAAGGAGCTTGGTGACTGAAAGATGATTTGAATGAATGGAGTTTGGGATGAGGAATATTGAGGTTACCAGCGGCAATGGATCCGGTGAACATGTGCCTTTGTTGTCTTATATCCAGTCGTAGGGCCAGGTAGTCTGGAGCCAGTCCAGTCCCCTCAAAGATTTAAAAGTGAAACATGCTAGTTGGTAAAGGTACCGTTGTGTAATATTCATAACCTTTATTGGATGGTGTTCGAGGAGGTACATTATGTATGACTCAGATTGCACAATTTTGAAGTTTCTGTATTTTAGCAATAATATCTTTGGTGCGTGGACCCCAAACAGAAATGCAATAATCAATATGAGGTAAAATAAATTATTATTATTATTATATAAAGTATTATAAATTAGAAGAGCAATGTTTTTATCAATAAATTTACATGCTTTGGAAAGTGCCAAAGTTTTGTAAGCAATTGGAAGAGGATAAATTACATGAATGTTGTTTCAATGTTAGGTTGTTGTCAACAGTGATTTCGCAGTGAAATTACGAAGTGTTTATTTTTTAGTATATTACACTTACACGTTTTACACCAAAGTAAATAAATGCCTTTCTCGAATAAACGCCTCCCTCGAATAGACCATCCCTCAAAAACCCTTCTCAACAATGAACAGTCCTTGGTGTTTTTAAAATTAATAATCTTTTGATTGGTTGAAACAAAAGCACGACCAATGATAACTTTTTTTCGGAAGACAACAAATAGTCGGTAAATAAAATCAAGATGTGTGAGGCTGTAAAATATTTCCAGCGTAAAATATTGGGCCCAGAAATCCGTCGCCACATTTCAAAATATGAGCCGATTTCCACGTATGTTTTTGCAGAAAATTTAGGCCTTCATAGTAGGAACACA